CTATGAAAAGTTATTTAAAAATTAGCTGGGCATGGCGGCACACACCTGTAGTACCAGCTACTTGGGAGGCTGAGGTGGGAGGATCGCTTGGGCCTAGGTCAAGGCTACAGTGAGCCATGGTTGTGCCACTACACTCTAGCCTAGTGACAGTGAGACCCTGTGTCTAAAAAATAAATAAAAATAGTTTGTCTATCATCACCAGGAAGTAAAAGCAAAAAAAAAGAAAAAAGATAGTTTTTCTATATTATTTGGCATTGTACTTCCTGATTCTGAAATTATGCCTAGTATGTGATAAGTACTCCTTAAATATTTATTGATTGAATTAATTAATACTTATTCATTTGGGATTATCTGATAAGATTATGGATTATATTAAGAAAAAATCATTTTTTAAACTTGGTTGCCCTTTGCCACACTTACACAGACACTAAGTTTTCTTAGCAGATTACTTCTGAGGATACTCACAGAGTCCATTCTCTTCTCAGTCCCCAAATAGTTAATATTTCTTAGCATTTTCAAGCTCATGCAATTCTTAGATGATATATCTGTGCATATCATATCCTCATTTTACAAATGTAGAAATTGAAGGCACAGTGGCTCACGCCTGTAATCCCAGCACTTTGAGAGGCCAAGGCGAGTAGATCACTTGAGGTCAGGAGTTCAAGACCAGCCTGGCCAACATGGTGAAGCCTCATCTGTATTAAAAATACAAAAATTGGCTGGGTGCAGTGGCTCAAGCCTATAATCTCAGCCGTTTGGGAGGCCAGGGCAGGTGGATCATGAGGTCAGGAGATCAAGAGTATCCTGGCTAACACAGTGAAACCCCATCTGTACTAAAAATACAAAAAATTTAGCTGGGCACGGTGGCATGTGCCTGTAGTCCCAGCTACTAGGGAGGCTGAGACAGGAGAATCACTTGAACCCGAGAGGTGGAGGTTGCAGTGAGCTGAGATTGTGCCACTGTACTCCAGCCTAGGCAACAGAGCTAGACTCCATTTCAATGTGTGTGTGTGTGTGTGTGTGTGTATAAATTAGCCAGGTCTGGTGGTGGGTACCTGTAATCCCAGCTACTAGGGAGGCTGAGACAGAATTACTTGAACCTAGGAGGTTGAGTTTGCAGTGAGCTGATAATGCACCAGTACATTCCAGTCTAGGCAACAAAGTGAGACCCAGTCTTTTTTTGTTTGTTTGTTTGAGAAAGAGACTCAGTCTTAAGGAAAAAAAAAAAAAGAAAGAAAGAAAAAGAAAAGAAATAGCCGGGCACGGTAGCTCACGCCTGTAATCCTAGCACTTTGGGAGGCCAATGTGGGCAGATCAGCTGAGGTCAGGAGTTCAAGACCAGCCTGACCAACATGGTAAAACCCTGTCTCCACTAAAATTTTTTAAATTAGCTGGGCATGGTGGCACACACCTGTAATCACAGCTAATTGGGAGGCTGAGGCAGGAGAATCGCTTAACCTGGGAGGCAGAGGTTGCAGTGAGCGGAGATTGTGCCACTACACTCCAATGCGGGTGACTGAAAAAAAAAAGAAAAGAAATTGAGGAATGGGGAGATTGTGATAATGTGATTTGTTAGGAATCACACAGCAGGTTAGTAGCAACTACAGGGCTTTGGTTCAGAATACCACCTGAACAATCGTTTGTTTACCGGCTCCCCTTCCCCTGCCTTTCTCTCCTTCCTTGTTGAGGGCAGCTGGAAACAGTTTTCATCATTTACTGGCCTGTAGTTTTAATTTGAGTTTTGAAACCCTGATAATAGAGCACAGAGGAAAAGACTGAGTTTTCTTTTTTTGAGACAGTCTCACTCCATGTCCCAGGCTCGAGTGCAGTGACACCATCTCAGCTCATTGCAACCTCTGCCTCCCAGGTTCAAGCAGTTCTGTCTCAGCCTCCCGGGGTACAGGCACGTGCCACTACACCCAGCTAATTTTCTATGTTTTTGTTTTGTTTTTTTCTGAGATGGAATCTTGCTCTGTCACCCAGGTTGGAGTGCAGTGGCACAGTCTTGGCTCACTGCAACCTCTGCCTCCTGTGTTCAAGCGATTCTCCTGTTTCAGCTTCCCTAGTAGCTGGGAGTACAGGTTTAGTAGAGACAGGTTTTCACTTTGTTGACCAAGCTGGTCTCGAACTCCTGATCTCTGGTGATCTGCTCATCTCAGCCTCCCAAAGTGCTGAGGTTATAGGCATGAGCCACTGCGCTGGCCAATTTTGTATTTTTAGTGGAGATGGGGTTTCACCATGTTGGTTAGGCTGGTCTCGAACTCCTGACCTCAAGTGATCCACCTGCCTTGGCCTCCCAAAGTGCTGGGATTACAGGCGTGAACCACCGTGCTCAGCCAAAATTGAGTTTTGAAAAGAGGCTTCTGAGTTTATGAGAAGGGCAAGCAAGGTAACTGAAGAAGTTACATTAAAATCATCTAGGATGCCAGATGTGGTGGCTCATGCCTATAATCCCAGCACTTTGGGAGGCCAAGGCAGGTGGATCACCTGAGGTCAAGAGTTCAAGACCAGCCTGACCAACATGGAGGAACCCCGTTTCTACTAAAAATACAAAATTAGCTGGGTGTAGTGGCACATGCCTGTAATCCTGCTATTCGGAGGCTGAGGCAGGAGAAGCGCTTGAACCTGGGAGGCAGAGGTTGAGGTGAGCCGAGATTGTGCCATTGCACTCTAGACGGGGCAACAAGAGTGAAACTCCATCTCCAAAAAAAAAATCATCTAGGAGACAGTGTAACAAGAAGGAATTGTAAACGGTTGTTATGAGCATGTGCGCATATAGTGGCAGTCCCTGTGCTTGGATACAGTGGTGGGAGACAAAGCTGTACTTAAATTGATACATCCCTTGCATGTCATTTTAAGGAGCTTAGAGTCCCATCATATAGACATCAGAGATTTAACAGAGTACTAACCAGATGCATTTCCCTGTCAGCAGAATGAAAATGAATTGGAGTTGGGAGAGACTGGCATCAGGGACACCAGTCAGACAGTGGAAGTAGCTAGTAATGTAGATAGAAGAAGAAAAAGATTCAAAGTTAGGTGGTGGTAGCAAGAATTAGAGGGAAGGTCAGATTTATGATACGTCCAAGGTTGAATTCTAGGGTGAAATTTGGGGATAGATTTCATGTGTAAATGAGGAAGGTAGATTGAGTTTTTTTTAACATGGGTTCTCTAGATGAAAAAGTGTGACGTTAACTGAGATACACAACACAGGAAAAGAGTAAGTGGGAGATAGATGAGTTCAGTTTGAAGTAGGTTCAGTTTGAGATGTCTGGACAATTTGGAAGTACAGATTTGACACTCAAGGGATTTCTAAGTTATTTGCAAATAGAAGGAAGTTAAAGCCACACAAGGGAATGAGATGCCCAAAGAAAATATGTTGAAGAAGAAAGGAAAACTGACAGGAAGGATGCTGGAGAAGCTCCATGTTAAAGGAGGAGTCTTAAGATGTGGGTTTGGAGGAAAAAGTGTCAGTCAACAAGGGGAAAACTCAATAGAGTGACTCTGCCTGGGGCCTGACAAGAGAAGAGTGCATGGGTGATTCAGCGCATTGAGCCTTCAGACAGAGCATTTAACATTGTAGTTCTGTAGACTCTGGTTTGCAGTAAAATTTGAATAAACCAATATTTAAGCCCTTAGGTAATAATAAAAGTTAAGGGGAAAGGATCCAGGTTTTGTATTTTTTTATGAATTCAGTTATTGAATTAATCAGGACCTTGCCTCAAGAAATAATCTACCAGCAATCTACTTGGTTTGAAACAAAGTTAGGAAGTGAGCCTGTTCAAATTATTAAATAAAAGGGATGTGTATTTCATTCATAGAGATAGAGGCTAGCCTACTTCGGATGATTCTCAGCATGTGATTACAAATGTAGGCTTGCACATCCTAGGAAGTTAAGGTGTACTCTGGCTTGGTGTACTCTTGGCTCTTTGGAACTCTTCTCTCACCTGTCTAGTTTATATAGACTGGAGAACTAGAATGTAGCAGCATACTCTGTCCTGGAAGACCTTTTGTAGAGGAGTTGGTCTGCAAGGTTTGAAAACAGAACAAATGAGTTGATATCTCCCAGCATGTTGCTAGATTCTTACCCAAGAGCAAGATCCTGATGAAGGTTTTGTTTCATTTTAATGTTGGCTGCAAACTAACACTAGATGTTAATTTCTTTCATCAAGTGAGGAGAGGAGAGTAAAAGTCCAGAACTCTGAAACACCTTTTCAAAAGTTTTCAAGCCTTGATGTTTGCAGGTTAAATACTCTGTTATGGAAACAATACAGTCAGTTTTTATTAATGTAATGTTCCTTAATGTTTTGGATGGTATCACACAAGAAAGAATATCTATGTCTGGAAGCAACAGTTTTTAAATAAGAGCATTTTGGTGGTGGAGGGGTGGTTTTTTTTTTTCGTTGTTTTGATACAGTCTCACTCTGTCACCCAGGCTGGAGTGCAATGGTGCGACCGAGGCTCACTGCAGACTCTGCCTCTTGGGTTCCAGCAATTTTCCTGCCTCAGCCTCCCAAGTAGCTGGGATGACAGGTTTCGCCATGTTGGCCAGGCTGGTCTCACTCCTGACCTCAGGTGATCCACCCACCTTGGCCTCCCAAAGTGCTAGTATTACAGGTTTGAGCCACTGTGCCTAGCCTTTTTTTTTTTTCCTCCTGAGATGGAGTCTCACTCTGTCACCCAGGTTGGAGTGCAGTGGCACAATCTCAGCTCACTGCAACCCCTCCTCTTGGGTTCAAGCAATTCTCCTGCCTCAGCCTCCCAAGTAGCTGGGATTATAGGTGCCTACCACTACACCCTGCTGATTTTTGTATTTTTAGTAGAGGCGGAGGTTTCACCATGTTGGCCAGGCTGGTCTTGAACTCCTAACCTTGGGCGAACCACCCATCTCGGCCTCTCAAAGTGCTAGGATTACAGGCGTGAGTCACTGCACCCAGACAAATAACATTTTTAATGTAAAATTGTGCATGAAATGTACATTCAATTTTGTCTTTGTTTACTAGGATCCATGTTCTCACAAGCTATGAAGAAATGGGTGCAAGGAAATACTGATGAGGTAAATTCTACTTTTAGGATAAAGAGATTTCTGTTTATAAGTGCCACCCTCATGTAAGTAAGATTTTAAATGTTCTCTTTTTTAGTTCTTATGTTTAAGCAGCATGGCGTATTTATGCTCTTTTATCCAGAATGTACCAAGAAAGGGTGGCCCTTCTTGACATCTAACAATTGCCTGGTAGTAGCAGTGATGGTACTTGAGTCCAGAGGCTAGGACTGCTGAAGGATATACATGCATTCAAGTTTCCATCAGCCAGCAGGCATCGGTAATCAGTTTTAGATCAAAAGCTACACAATGTTTCCTTCCCCATCATCAGTTTTGCTTTAAGTACTGGAGGCTTGCTTTTTTTTTGAGACGGAGGCTTGCCGTGTTGCGCAGGCTGGAGTGCAATGGCGCGATCTCAGCAGGCGCCTGCCACCACACCCAGCTAATTTTTTGTATTTTTAGTAGAGAAGGGGTTTCGTCATGTTGGCCAGGCTGGTCTTGAACACCTGACTTCAGGTGATCCACCCTCATTGGCCTTCCAAAGTACTGGGATTATAGGCATCAGCCACCACGCCTGGCCCAAAGTTTGCTTTTTTAATAGTTAAGTACATTAAGAGATGGGAAGTGAAAAAAGGAAAATGTTTTATTTTGACCATCTAACATGAAAGTAGTTCCAGTGTCAGGTATCCAGTAGTTGACTCCAAAAGGCAGTGAATGACATGTTAATACTCATAGCCAGAGGGTGGCCCAGATTTTTTCATACATGGAAATGAACTTCTTATTCAAATAAGTAGAAATGATGTGCGTAAGCCATTTGTTCAGAGCACTGAGTATGTGCATCTCTATCCATCTAATGAATAACCATCAGTTTAAATTATTTTCTTTAGGCCCAGGAAGAGCTAGCTTGGAAGATTGCTAAAATGATAGTCACTGACGTTATGCAACAAGCACAGTATGATCAACCATTAGAGAAGTCTACAAAGGTAAGGATGACTTTGTTTTGTATCAACTGAAAAGTATTATTTTCCAGGTATAAAAATTAAAAAGGACATAAGGGGCTTTGCCTTTGAAGGATAACTGCTGTAGGGATTACCTTCTTATAAGCAGCTAGAAAACAGATAAACTACATGAAACAACTGTTTCCATATATTGGACAATGGGCAATATAGGAAAACTGTACTGAAACCAAACAGAGCCCAGAAAGCTTGCTGAACTAAAAAGTTAAAAATCAAAGTTCAGGCCAGGCGCAGTGGCTCACGCCTGTAATCCCAGCACTTTGGGAGGCCAAGGTGGGCGAATCACCAGAGATCAGGAGTTCAAGACCAGTCTGGTCAACATGGTGAAACCCCAACTCTACTAAAAATACAATAATTAGCTGGGCATGGTGGTACACGCCTGTAATCCAGCTACTTGGGAGGCTGAGGCAGGAAAATCACTTGAACCCGGGAGGCGGAGGTTATAGTGAGCCAAGATCATACCACTGCATCCAGCTGGGCCACAGAGTGAGACTCCATCCCCACATAAAAAAGAAAGGATTTGTATAAAACCATGGTTACTATACAAAATGGCCAGGCAGAGTGACTCACAGCTGTGATTGCAGCACTTTGCGGGGCTGAGGCAGGCAGATCAAGTGTAAGGCCAGTAGTTCCAGACCATCCTGGCCAACATGGCGGAACCCTGTCTCTACTAAAAGTATAAAAATTAGCTGGGCATGGTAGTGCACTTCTGTAATCCAACTACTTGTTAGGCTATGGCAGGAGAATTTGCTTGAACCCAGGAGGCAGAGATTGCTGTGAGCTGAGATTTAACAAAATATGTGCAAGATCTGCACAGTATAAACTATAAAACAACTGAGCAGGATTAAAGAATATTTGAAAAAAAGCAGAAATAAGTCGTGTGTGAATGAAAAGACTCAACGTGGTTAAGGCACCATATTCTCCTCTGATTGATAGATACAGTACAATTATAATCAAAATTCCAGCAGACTTCCTTATATAAATTGATAAGATAATGTAAAATTTCTTAGGAAATATAAATGAACTAGAATAACCAAAAAAATTATTGGAAAAAAGACACATTAGAAGAATAGCAAATACTAGCTGGCTTCATACTGACCATAACGCTACATGATTTTTTTTTTTTTTCCCCCGAGACGGAATTTTTGCTCTCGTAGCCCAGGCTGGAGTGCAGTGGCACAATCTCGGCTCACTGCAGCCTCCACCTCCTGGATTCAAATGATTCTTTTGCCTCAGCCTCCTGAGCAGCTGGGATTACAGGCATGCGCCACCACACCTGGCTAATTTTGTATTTTTAGTAGAGAAAGTGTTTCTCCATGTTGATCAGGCTGGTCTTGAACTCCCGACCTCAGGTGAACCACCTGCCTCGGCCTCCCAAAGTGCTGGGATTAAAGGTATGAGCCACCATGCCCAGCCTGTATTTTTTTTAGTAGAGTTGGGGTTTCACCATTTTTGCCAGGCTGGTCTTGAACTCCTGACCTCAGGTGATATGCCCACCTTGGCCTCCCAAAGTGCAGGGATTACAGGCGTGAGCCACGGCGCTAGCCCCAATTTCTTCAACAATGTGATTGTCTCTAACTTGAGTTGATTCATGAAGAGATTTAATGTGGTAGGAGAATTCCTTTTTTTTTTTTTTGAGGTGGCATCTTACTCTGTCAGCAGGCTGGAGTGCAGTGGCGCGATCTCCGCTCACTGCAACCTCTGCCTCCTGTGTTTAAGTGATTCTCCTGCCTCAGCCTCCCAAGGCTCAGCTGAAACTACAGGTGTGGACCATACCCGGCTAATTTTTGTATTTTTAGTAGAGATGGGGTTTCATCCTGATGGCCAGGATGGTTTTCATGTCTTGACTTCATGATCTACCTTGACTTCCCAAAGTGCTGTGATTACAGGCGTGAGCCACTGCATCCAGGCCTGAGAATTTCTACTTAGATTATTTGTGAACATATTAAACTATTCCTCTATCATTATATTAAGCAAAAATTAGGAGTCAGAGAAAATACTTTCAGATGACATCTCATAAAACCCTCAGTAGTTTGGAGAACTTGCATTCAGTTTGGGTCCATTATCATACTTTCCTTTCTAACTTCCCAGCCAACTTTTTATTCTAAGAACCATCATTACTGGAGCTTGATTTAATTGTGAATTTGCACTGAATTGATTCATACCAAAGCTCTATTTACTTTTCCAAACTCTGCACTCTTTTCTGCGTGAGGTTGATCATTTTTGTCTGTATTTATCTTACGTCTCAGTCAAACCTCAGATAGCTAGGAGCAAGCTACAAGTGTGTAAGAAGTGAGAGGTAGCTGTGTTTGTGTTCTCATTATCATGTGCATAATCAAATGTTCCATAATAAGAAAATGTTCTTTAAAAAACATTTTTGGAAAGCAGATGTTTATAATTCAGGCTTTTCGTTTGAGTTACATGTTCAAATTTTGTTAGTATATGCTTTTCATTTTTAGGATATACAGATATTTTACTATATTTTGGTTTTTGAGCTTGCTAGGCCTTCTCTTTGACTTGTCAGATTTTCTGTCCTGCCAGGCCCTCAGGGATCAGTAGTGCATTGGTGAGGGAAAAAACAGTAGACTCAGCCTGGGGGCTGTGGCTTACATCTGTAATCCGAGTACTTTGGGAGGCCAAAGCGGGTGGATCACCTGAGGTCAGCAGTTCAAGACCAACCTCGCCAACATGGAAAAACCCTGTCTCTACTAAAAATTTAACAAATAGCTGAGCATGGTGGCGCATGCCTGTAATCCTAGCTACTCAGGAGACCGAGGCAGGAGAATCGCTTGAACTCAGGAGGCAGAGGTTGCGGTGAGCCAGGATCACACCATTGCACCCCAGCCTGGGCAACAAGAGCAAAACTCAAAACTCCGTCTCAAAAATAAAAAATAAACAGTAGACTCGCAGAACTAGCTGAGTCCTTCTTTAGGCAGTAAGTGTGACCTTTTGCAGGTGACTCTTCTTTAGTTCCTCTTGTCCTCATCAGTAGATCAGAGAAATTCAGCAGGAAAACCCCAAAAGTTTCCCTTCTGATCCTCATCCTGTGATTTTATGAATATGTGAAGTCCTAGGCCTGTGAAGGAATACTCAATAACTCTTTATCCTGTGTTTATACTTCTCTACTTTAACCTCCAACTCGACATTTGCCTATAGGATGTACTTGGACATTCTGCATAAACTACCTCACATCATTAACTGAATTGCTTTATGTGTGCATGTCCCACGTCACAATAACCAGGGACCTTGTCTTCCGTGGTATTTGTCCCCAGCAGTGTGAGTTCAGGAGGGCGTCAGCCTCATGAGCTTGGTCTTGGGTGCCTAGCAGATCAGAGTTCATTTTTTCCTTGTAAAGACTATGGGGGTATTCCATATATGCCTCTACTGTCATTTAATGAATCCCTTGTGAATGATTATTTAGGTTCTTTCAGGTTTTTCTCTGTTACAAGCAATATTTTAGTGAATGTCTGCATGTGTGTCTTTACCGTTCCTCTTGAATATGCTATAGGCTTAATTCCTAGAAGGCTTTTTTTTTTTTTTTTTTCCTTGAGATGGAGTTTCTCTCCTGTTGCTTAGGCTGGAGTGCAATGGTGCAATCTCAGCTCGCTGCAACCTCCGCCTCCCAGGTTCGAGACATTCTCCTGTCTCAGCCTCCTGAGTATCTGGGATTACAGGCATGCACCACCACGCCCGGCTAATTTTTGTATTTTTAGTAGAGACAGGGTTTCACCATATTGGCCAGGCTGGTCTCAAACTCTTGACTTTAGGTGACCCACCTGCCTTGGCCTCCCAGAGTGCTGGGATTACAGGTGTGAGCCACTGTGCCTGACGTAAAATTGGCAATATTTTTCATTCTAATATCTATTGACAAAATCCAAAGCAAGTCTGGATGCCAGTCCTTGTTATGTGACCCTTGGGTAAGTTACCTAGCCTCTTGAAACCTGTTCACTCATATGTCAACAAGGAAAATTACAATGTTTTACCTCACAAAATTGTAGTCAGCTGCTGGCTGTCATAAACTCTGGTATATAGTAAATACTAAGTGTTGGTGTCCATCCTTAATTTGTAATGATAATAGGTCACTTTTTAGAAAAATGTACCTTACCATTTTCTTTTCTTTTTTTCAGTTATGACTCAAAACGAGATAAAAGGAAATCTGCTTTTGAAAAATAAGAGAACTTTTTTCCCTTGGTTGGATTCTTCAACACAGCCAATGAAAACAGCACTGTATTTCTTTTCACTGATCTGTCACTGTTGTTTCCAGGAGAGAATGGGAGACAATTCTGGACGCTACCATAATGCAGTTACCTGTAGGCCTAATTGATGCACATGACATTCATACAATGAGAGTCTTAAAGATACTAAATGGTATTGTTTACATTACTAGAAAATTATTAGTTTTCCAATGGCAATAACCCATTTATGAGAGAGTTCCAGCCCACTGGAATAGACAGGGACCACATCCTGTGGGAGGCAGAGAAGCAAAGAACTGATACTTGATGTACACTTGTAGCAGTAACTCATCCCTAATAGCATCGTAAAGCAGGTGCCATAAGTGCTTTGCTTTGTCCTCCCAAAGCAGGTGAGTCAGCCCCACAAAGAGCCAGGCAGATCTGAGTGGCAGCGTGGTGCTAGCAGCTTCAGTGGAACAGGGTGAGAGTTTATTATGCAGTCTTCCTTCACAGTGGCATTAATTTGGAAGAAAGTTGACAAGTCATGGGTCAGGTTTCAGTGACTTCTTCCTCCCTTTGATGGCAGTATACAGTTTTCACATTTTAATTCTTCCTGAGATGCAGTATGCTTAAAACCATTCTCTCCCCTGCTAACAGAAGGGTGAATCTGGTTTACTCTGAGCATTAGGATTTGCGCCTCTGGAATTCTACACTCCAGTTTCTTAACTTTCCCTTCAGAATACATGTGGAAAGAAAGAATTATAGTGATGACTCCAGTTTTTCCCCTGTGGCCCCTTGAACAAAACAGTTTTTCCCAAATTATAATTCTTTTTTTTATTAAGGTGAGCAGGGTGGTTGGGGAGAGAGAAACATTTGACTTTGTTTGACTGGCTCCCCCATTCTTTGCTGTGAGCTGGGAAGTGTGCAGTTGGTGGTCTTTCGTCTTTCTTCAGGACAGTAGGAGACTCATTCACTGCACTTCTGCTCAGGTGGCTTCTGCATCGGGACCTCACAGCCATCAGCAAAGCTGCTCAGTTGGTGAGCACACTCCATTGACCACGTGGTGCCAGTGCTTCCTCAATGCACGATTGAGAGAAAAGAAAGTTCTCTTAGATGTTTCTGCTTTTGCTCAGACTTTGCAAAAAAAAAATATATATATATGTATAAATATATAATTATTTACTTTTGTCCTTGAGAAAGTCTTGAATGAACAGAGAATTTATTCCATTGCAATATTTGATTGTATAGAGGCACACTGTTTGATCAACAGAAGAAGCAGAAAGGCTTTGTGTAAGTTTTTGGTACTATGTACCACCTCTGTTATTCTTCTAAAGCTGAAGTATTCATGTACTTAAACCATATGATATTTAATTGTGTTTGATTTAAAAAATATATATATATATATGAATTATTTAAAATTGTGTCAGTTTTCTGCTTTCAGGGCTTTTATGACTCTTCTGTTGAAATATATTGATTTTTCCAAATATTTTCATTTGCTTTATAAAAACCCAGAACATGAACCACTACTGGACTTAGCCTTGTGTTTGGAGCATATGGCATAAACCCAAGGTTTTTATTAGGTATATATGCTGTGATTAATTCATTTTGTTCTTTTAACAAAATATTTCCATCCATTTCACATTGCTTCCATCTTTAACGGAAAAGCAATTTCAAGATTATAGAATAAAATATGGTTTTGGGTGACTCTTGCTGCCTCTGCATGTTTTAGAATAACAATTTCTACAAGACTCTAGGCTGTTTAAACTAGTGCTTTCAGCTAAGATAATTTCCGATCTTTTTTTGTATATACATTTTGTGCTTCTGAACTAGAGATGCCAAGTAGTTATAAACTTATTATAAAGAGAATAGCAGCAAGTTTGAGACTCGGCTACATTTTTCTGCCCCACCTGTTTTGAGACCCAGAAGCGGGTGTGGCCCAAAATTGTTAGCCAGATTTAACATTTGATCTAAAGTAGATCCTTGTACTCATTTTAAAGTTGGAATTCGATTCCTCCAACATTGAGCACCCAGTATGTTCCAGGCTCTACGCATTGTGCCCACAAAACAAGATTCCCTGGTGGAGTTTTTATAGGTTAAAGTAATCAGTTGAACACCCTTCATCTTTATCACATCATTGACGTTGACACAAATTGTTTAAAAAAAAGATATTAGAAAGTGATGCCTTTTGTAACTTGATGTGTCTTCGTTGCTCTGTAAGATTTGATGAAAGTAAAAAGCAAATGTCAGCCAAATCCAGTGAACAGCAATAAAACAGGGAGCAGCTTTTTATAACTTTCTACTTGGGTTTCAACATTCAGTAAAGCTTTATGAAATGTAAGTAGTTTACAGTACTGGAGCTTTGACTGGTTCAGTAGAAATTTGTAGGGCTAAAGTACAAACTTCTTTTGCTGTTTTATTTAAGTACTGAGAGCTAAGCGCCTGATGAAGTGACTTACCTCTCTCCAGTGACATTGTTTGGGTACCTGCCTGACTTCAGGAGTGGGATCCTGTTTCTCCACAGTGACCTTTTCTCTTTCAGCCTCTCCTCCCTCTTTCCCACATACCAGTTAATTGTACCAGGGTTGAACTCCTGATCCAGATAGACCCAAGACAGTTCTTTATCTTAAGAATTTTGAGGCCAGGCAGGTGGATTACTTGAGGTTAGTAGTTCAAAACCAGCCTGGCCAACATGGTGAAACCCCATCTCTACTAAAAATACAAAAATTAGCCAGATGTGGTGGCAAGCACCTGTAATCCTAGCTGCTTGGGAGACTGAGGCAGGGGAATCACTTGAATCCAGGAAGCAGAGGTTGCAGTGAGCCAGGATCACACCACTGCACTTCAGCCTGGGCAACAGAGCAAGACTCTGTTAAAAAAAAAAAAAGAAAAAGAATTTTGGCCAGGTGTGATGGCTCACACCTGTAATCCCAGCACTTTGGGAGGCCAAGGTGGGTGGATCACTTGAGGTCAAGAGTTCAAGACCAGCCTGTTCAACATGGCGAAACCCATCTCTTACTTAAAAACAAAAATTAGCCGGTTGTGGTAGCAGGCACCTGTAATCCCAGTTACTTGGGGGGCTGAGGCAGGGAGAATTAATTGCTTGAACCCAGGAGGCAGAGGTTGCAGTGAGCAGAGATTGCACCACTGTACTCCAGCCTGGGCCACTAAGCGAGACTCTGTCTCAAAGAAAAAAAAGAATTTTGCATGGGGAAGGAGAGATACTAGTCACTATCAGGGATGGTGCCTGGATGTGGCACTTAAAAAGTCAGGAGCCAGCACTGCGTGGACAAACAGAAGCATGTGGGCCTGAGATAGCAGCTACCTTGATAACCCTGAGGACATCCATGGTTTCTGCATCTAGTCCTGCATCCTTGGACTGGACTCTGTTAATCTCTCAGCCTTAGAATGATTTTTTATTTTTTAAAAACAGTCCGAAGTGAGCTTTTTAATTACATGCAACTGAAAGGAGTTTGGCTAAACTGCTGCCAGTCTGCTCTAATTCCTAGTGATAATGTATGCTCAGCATGTCTAAAAGTACTGCATTTCTGGAGAATAATTTTTCTTTAGTAAACTTTACTTAGTCATCATGTGTATTCTCTCAAAATGGTATCCTAATCTAATGGAGCTAAAAGATACCCCTTGTTTTTTATAACAAGTAATTACTGAGGCCCAGGAAAGAGAGAAGTCTCTGACTTGTGAGATCATCACCATTAGAACTCAGGTGTGTGCCAGTCCCTTTTCATTCTTCTCAGATCCTTCCAAAGAATAATCAGGATTATAAACACTTTTAGCAATTGTAATAAACCCAGAAATAGCTTTTTTGTTAGAATGATGGAAGCTTGGCGGGGAGATGTTTACAAAATGTATAAATACCAACAAATTCTATGTACTAGGCAAGGTCTCTGGCCTTTGCTGGAGCCATAAGGTGAGAAGAAATGCCAGTAAAACCCCTCAAGGTTACAACTTTTGTGGCCCACACTAATAGTTACCTACTGAGGCCCTCTATGGGTGAACATTGAGCACTAGAGGAGGCCCCTCTGCTTGGAGAGAGTTGGTGCAGAGTAGGAGGGGTGGGACTGGATTCTGGGCAGGTGGAGATGCCCATGAAGGACATTGAAAGAAGCAGTGTGAGCACAGCCCCCCAGGGCATTCATGTTCAGGGAGGGTTGCTGCCCACTGGCTTGCTTGGCACACAGGAGAGCAGGTATTCCTGCCTCAGTAACTTTATGTGAACAAGTATTTCCGCAGTCTTCCTCTCAAACTGCCTGCCTTGGCGGATTCAGGATGTCACAGAACTCACCTGGATGCATTCAGCCCCTTGGCTAAAAGTGATAGTGCATCTACCTACCCACCCCCACCCCCTGCACGACTGAAGCACCTGTCAGACTGAGCCCAGTCTGTGGGCAAGGAGCCAAGAAAGCAGGCTTAGTTTCAGCTTGAGAGGAGCTGGGATTTACCAAGGAGCAAATGAGAGATGAGGATTGCAACAACTGCCATTTCCCCCAGCTTCAGCTGAGTCCTGTGTATTGAATGTGCCTTCAGACTTATCCCTAGGTGACCCCAAGCTGGCCTCCTCCACATCACAGTAAGAATTCCACATACCATACAACTTGGAAAGAGGCTCCAGCTGAAGGAAGTATCACACTTCTTTCAAGTTTTTCTTTGTTTTCCTCTTGTTGGCAAAGAGTACCTTTTGTTCCTTCTAATTATGGAACTATTGGTTTAGTAAATAGTCACTCATTCAGTCACCGTGTGAGTTCCAGGCACCTTGGAGCTTGCATTTTACTGAAGAGGAGCTGTAAATTGGGATAGCAGCTAAACCGTGTGCTGGTACTTCTGATTTAAGATGGCCTTTGAACCCATGATTTAGCTCTCTTACCCACCAAGGTCAATTAGAAATCATCAGGCTCTCCTGCTATAGACTCGTAGGGAGAGCTGCTGCTTAGAGGGGAGCCTGCAGAGAGGTCCCCCTTATGTGTCCTCTCAGCCGCATCTTTCCACCAGGACCAGTTGCTGTGCCACTCCTTTCACTTGCTGCAAGACTGGAGATTTTGGCACTTTGTCAGGTGTTGAACACTTGGTTGATCTTGATGCCTGAGTCCATCAAGGTAAGTCCCTGAACAGGGCTTACCTTAGAGTAAGGCTTAGAAGAGGCCATAAAGTCAGTCTCAGCTCCGTGGCTCTGCAGAGCTTTGGGACTTGTGAATTCTTAAAAACGACAATTGGCTGGACGCGGTGGCTCACATCTGTAATCCCAGAACTTTGGGAGGCCGAAGCAGGCAGATTGCCTGAGGTCAGGAGTTCGTGACCAGTCTGGCCAACATGGTGAAGCCCTGTCTACTAAAAATACCAAAAAACTTAACTGGGCATGGTGTCATGCGCCTGTAATCCCAACTACTCAGGAGGCTGAGGCAGGGGAATTGCTTGAACCAGGGAGGTGGAGGTTGCAGTGAGCTGAGATCTTGCCACTGCACTCCAGCCTCGATGAAAGAGCGAGGCTTCATCTCAAAAAAAAAAAAAAAAAAAAGACTTGTAGAGTTACTACATGCATGCAGTATAAAATCACGACCTTGGAAAATCCTAGCTAGCTGTTGAGCTAATTCCATAAAGTAATCAGCTCCCGGGTTCTGCAATGGTAATAATAATCAGTATAATGAGTAAACACTGTGTGTCAAGTGGCGTCTCATTTGATCCTTATAATCTTGTAAGTACTGATTTTTTTCCCCTTTAAGGGGAAAAAAGACGGAGTTTCGCTCTTGTTACCCAGGCTGGAGTGCAATGGCGCGATCTCAGCTCACTGCAACCTCCGCCTCCTGGGTTCAAGCAATTCTCCTGCCTCAGCCTCCCAAGTGGCTGGGACTACAGTCATGCACCACCATGCCCAGCTAATTTTTGTATTTTTAATAGAGACAGGGTTTCACCTTGTTGACCAGGATGGTCTCAATCTCTTGACCTCGTGGTCCACCCGCCTCGGCCTCCCAAAGTACTGGGATTACAGGCTTGAGCCACCGCACCTGGCAAAGTTTTTTTTTTTTTTTTTTTTTTTAAGAGAGAGAGGGTCTCACTATGTTGCCCAGGTTAGCCTTGAATTCTTGGCCTCGAGATCTCTTCCCATCTCAGCCTCCTAAAGTGCTGGGATTACAGGTGTGAGCCACCATGCCTGGCCATTCTTTCCCTTATAAAGGAGAAGACTCACTAACACCCTTTTCGGCCATAGCCCACCTGCACCCAGGTGAAAAAAAAAAAAAGAAGAAGAAGACTGAGGCTTAAGAGGTAAATGAATTTCTCCAGCATCTTAGCCAGGGGAGACTGCCCTCTTACTTGCAACTGTGTTATCCTGCAAATGTTCTCTTCCTTCTCTCATTTTGCTGCTTATTGGTACTCAACGCAGACAAGTGTATTGAAAACTT